GTGCTGCGTATTGGACATTAAGTTTAGAAAACTCACTTGCATTCCTTCATTTTTGTTAGATGTACAGTGCAACTGCTCACTGGCAGGTGAGGACAAATGCAAAATCTATTTTGGCAATAGAACTACAAATGTTAAAAACATAGTACAGATTTGACTGCAATTTATTTTACAACTTCATTATTTTATTAAAAACAAAAATAGTTAAAATTGGTAATAACTGCATTATGGTAATGAGTTAGGTATTTCCAACAATTTATTCTATCATAGCGTTAAAATTGCATGACATACAAGAAAAAAGAAAATGTCAATTATAATATTATTTTTAAGGTAAATATTAATGCATTATTATTAATTACCAGTGTTAAACAAGGTGTTTTTTCCAAGATATTAAAATTACCAGGTTAAAAAAATCCTTCTTTTTGTGTGAATATATTTCTGCATATGTTTTAGTATTAAGCTTATTCTATCACTAGGTCAGAACTCATACATAGTAATGCTTTTATGTATAGTTCTTTTTTGTGTTCTAATGCTTACTCAGAGAACAAATACAGGTAATTAGTAATTTAGCCAATTTTTAGATCAAATGTTAATTATAAAGTCAAACCTGTACATGATAGAATTTATCACAGTAAGGTGAAGATTCAGAGTAAAAAAATGTAAAGTATTTTTGTTGTCCAATTGATAGACTGGAAGGTACTTCATAGTTGTTTATTCTTATATTTACAAATTGAAGACAAATTCACAGCAGTATTTTTTTTTTCACCCCCTTTGAATATATTCATTGCATAACTTGATTACACATTTGTCAACTTTGGACTAATTATTTTTCTACAGCTAGGGCAGGGCATTGCATCTTCTGATTGTCTTTCTTACTAATAGGATTTTGTCTGCTTCAGCAGGCAGTAATTGAAGGTTTCATGTACAAGATTTAAAGAAAAGGCAAAGGAAAAAAGAAGTTTTAGCCTCCATGGGCCATTATCACTGCTTCTGGTAAGCAGTAGAACAGAAAAAGAAAAAAACTTAGCTTGAAAAGAAAAACCAGAGAGGAGGAAGAGCACCCGACAGGAGAGAATGTATGTTTTAATGCTGTTGAATTATGCATAACAAACCTACTCTGCTGTAAACAGTTGTCCCGATAGTGACCGTTCAGGTCTAAATTTACCTTCTCAAATGTTGAATTTTAAAGAGGAGGTTTTGAGTGTGTTACTCTGTTGCTGTCTGTTCACTGGTGTGGAATTTTCATAACCTTCCCCTCTAAAATGCCTTTCCTGTATATCATAGCTATCTTCTCTTTACAAATAAAGGGAAAAACTTGCTAGTCGGTAGTTAGGCTAGTCGTCATTAAAAAGCCAGTGTTTGGCAAATGCTGTCACATTGTGACATTAAACCATTGTATGGTTAAACCACTGTATGGTTAATACCATTGAATGGTATTAAACCACTGGATGGTTAAACCCCACACTGATACTCTGTAGTTTCCATTTTTATCAACTATAAGTCAAATGTTTCTATGTGATAATCATTAACAAATCTTATTTTCATAGAAGGTGACCAAGAATGTGTACTTGATTTTAAGTCCTGAAAGACAAGTGACTTTCTGCAAATATACAGTACTTTCTTGATGATGATTTCGAATTGATTCTAATATGTATTTCCTTATCTACCAACAGATACTGTATTTATGTAGAAATAATCTGTGAACTCCTCTTTTTTTTTTTTCTGCATGTCACGTAGCCTCACAATATTCAACGTTCATTTAAAAGAAACATATATTTGGAAGAATATTCCTCACGTTGTTGTGTGTCTAATCTGTCTTGTTTTTTTTTTAAATGGGAAAGCTATTAACAGCTGCAAATCTTCCTGAATATTTTTAATTAAGTAAAATCAATTTTATAATTAATATTATCACAGAAAGGAAAATAGAAAATAACTCCAGTGTAGCAGAAAGAGCCATCTTCAAATTATTAGTAAATATTTGGTTTTGTTTTCTGAGTGGTATTCTCATTTACTTTCTTTTTTTTCATGTTCACTGATGCACCATTTTTTGCAACAGAACCATGTTCATAATATAATGTCATATGTTAAGAGTTGCCCATAGGACAAATCCTTTTGGACCAACCAGTTTACAAGTTAGATTTTAATGTACTGCAGTGCCATTTCCAAGGCTTATCTCAGCCTATGAATTCCGATAGATTTTATTATCTTTTTACAATTTTTTTTAAATTCAAATTCTAACCTTTGAGGCAGTGTCAACTTTCAGAAAATGTAAAAAAATAATTACTGACCTTGTGGGGAAAATAAAAGTTCCTTGCAAAGAATAAAAACCTACTATTAGAGTGATGATTTTTTGCTGCTGAAAGATTTTTTTTTTTTTTAATGGCTTTCTCGTCTAAGCATTTAATTGAGCACAACACACATTTTGGAAAATCCAGGTGAGCTTTTTAAGAGTAAGCATAGAAATGCAGTAACATGTACTTAGTTGAAAAAACACTACTAACCAAATCCTTCAATGGCAGTATATATAAAATATCTAAATAATTAGCAAATCAGTTTTACTGCTAGTGTCTTCTAACTGAAGGTCAACTGCTTCATCCTTTATAACTCTGTTCAGTTTCAGACATCATACATGCATATTTGTGTTATTCTCTTTAGAAGCAAAATTATCTTCCCTATCTTAAGGAACAGATTTTGATTTCTAGAGTTCAAGATCTGTGGTAAACCCATTGTGTGGTTGTTCCTCTAGACACCCTTTTTTAATGGTAAATAAGTCATCCTGTATTGTTCCAGTTCTTTTTCTGCACCAGGCGATTCCAGATCAGTGACCATTGATACAAACCAATTAGCCAGTGCTAGTTATGCATATTAACGCTTTGTGTAAAATCATCCCAGTATCAGACCCTTTGCATCTTGCAAACCACATACAAACTCACATTTTATTGATTTTATGTGTTTTGTTCAGAGGTATGGAAAAGTACTATTGATTCCCTATGTGATTTTGCAAAACCACATGTAAAAATACCATAGCAAAACTCATCTCTGATGCTTTGGGCCACCTTGGCTTTTGCAGACCGCTGATTTTGTATCACTTTCAGCTTTTAATAAATGAGGGTAAAATCAAGCCTCGAGGCTATGAAACACAGCGGGAGTGCCAACTACCAACCTATTTGTGTGCATACTCAGACATAATCTGCTTCTGTGTTGTCCCAAGACACAACTGTTAAGTAAATAAAGTGACTAATAAGACTATTGTTTCTATAATTATCCCTTCTGCCCCCCCCCCGTCAAAATCAACAAGAGAAATAGTCATCTTCTACATCTCAGTGCAAATAGATGAAATCATTGATATACCTAGCTAAGCAGATAATTTTTATAATAGTAACGTTGTTTTAGAACCTCCTATTAAAGGGAGAGGTCTTTGAATGTATCTGTAATCCGGACAAAAGAAATAGATTGACCTGTGATGGGTGACATTAGAGAATGGTCCCATGTTTCCTTAATTAATATAATGTGTTATGAGATTTTGATATGCGTAGTCTAAAAAGAAAAAAGAGAAATTACTTCTCGTTTAAAGAGAACCTGCTTCCTGCTTAAGTGGCTAATATTTTAATTAAGTCTAGAGTGAAGTTTTTTTGAGTATCTCCTGATAAACTCCCTCCTTTATGTTGATGATAATTAAACAGATCCCCAAGGGCTTGGGTAGGCGCTTTGCAAGGCCCGTGCTAATTGTCAGATATGAGACACTGACCAGTTGGTTTGCTCTTGAATAGCCCACAGCGTGCTGTCAGCCCAGCAGTTTGATTTTTCTGTATTGTGAGCTGTTGTCAGGGCTAACTGGGTCCTATTGTGGCTGAAGATGTTGCGCAAATTGAGGCAGATGGCTCTGATTCAGACACGTGTCATTCAGAAAGAGGAGAGGAGATTGGCCCTGCAAAGTGGGGTCAGACTGGGTCACAGACCTGCTCTACACTTGTTAGTGTTTTCAAAAGCCCATGTGCAGCAACTTTGTTGTTGTCAAGTAACCAAGGGGGGTGGGGGAGGCGAAGGGCAAAAAAACCCCATGGTGTGCTCCTTGTAGAAGGTGGAAGAGGAGGCTGTTGCTATCCTCTTCCTTCCCTTCCCATCTCTTGGGCCTGGCTGTGCATGCAGAATGAATTAACAGGATTGACAGAAGTTCATTGTGCCTAAAATAGCTTTTCAGTCAATTGTGGTGCTTAAAAGGCTAGTTTTGCTTTTAATTCCATGTAATTAGTGGGTTCTTCATGTCTTGGAATTTAGTAATGGTGCATTAAACCTAACTTTTGTTTATATGATTGGTTGGGATTTTGGATGGTTTTTATTCTCTTTGTAGGATTTTTAATAATTCTAAAATATTTGTAATTATTGGCCATATTTTTATATTAAATATTATGTAGATAAATTCACAGTTGGAATAATTGGTGTCTTGCTGTTACCATCATTTCAAATAATTGTGTTGGATGTTTATAACTTTGACTGGATTTACTTTGAATTAATTCCCAAGATGGCAGGAGGATGCACTTTTCTAGAAGTACAATAATTTTGCTTTTTGGAAGTGCTCTACTACATTTAGCATAGGTACATTTTCTTTACAGCACCAAATAATGACAGTTATCCATGAAAAACTCCATACAGCTGAATTCAAGTTGCCAATGTGCCCAAGAGTTGTAGATGAACTGAAGAATCAGAATTTACATAATTTTATTTAAATAGTGTTTAGTTTGTTCTAGTAAATACACAATTTTGCATGATACTTTTTGGTCCTTCTTAAATGCAGAAATATTTACACAATGCTGAATAACTTCTATCTGAAGAATTTATGAAGGTTATTATGGTTTATCCCCTGAAATGCATTAATGAAATTGGAGGCATTTTATTTTATTTGATCTCATTTAACTTTTCCAGAAAGAAATATTAGCAGTCTTTGACCTTAAGATCTCCAGTGATTTTTATTTTTTATTTGTTATTTTTCCTTTCCCCTCCAGGTTTGCCGCTAAGACTGTGCACAGTGGGTCGCTGATGCTAGTCACAGTGGAGCTGAAGGAGAGCTCTACAGCACAGCTCGTCATAAACACTGAGAAAACTGTGATTGGTTCTGTTCTGCTGCGGGAGCTGAAGCCTGTCCTGTCCCAGGGGTAACCTGCTTACATCTGGACTTCAGAATCTGGCACACAACAAAAGTGCCTGGCATCCACTACTGCTGCCTTTCATTTATAATAATAGCCCTTCCATCTGGCAGTGGGGGAAGAATACACTCTTGACATTCTTGTCTTCTGCTTTAGAATGCTAGTGTGTATCTATCATGTATGCAAGTCCTTTCCTTTTTTTCTGCTTGCTAACCAAAGAACATATATTTTACTGTCAGTTATCTGCGCTTTAAAATGTTTCCTATTTGTTCTACCTTAGTCCTTCCCTGTCTGCTCCCTGCTCCCTTCCTCCATTACCTTTCTTCCCTAATAGTTTTCCCTATTTTAGTGGACAAATACTAGATAATAAAGTTCAAGGGAAATCACACTCCTTGAAAACTGAGTTAAAATGGCAGGTAGGTTCCAGCAACATAAAAAGCAACTACGTGGTTCGGAGAGGTTTTTTGTGTAAGTGTAAAAATACAATAGGTACAGCAGCATGGTGTTTGCTTTCAGGAAATGCTTGTAAACCTGAACTCATCTATTAAAAACATTGTTCCCACCTACTACCATTTTCTGAAATATTTCTGTTAAGATGCCAATAAAGTAGTGCTATGAGCAGAGGCTTCCTCTTTCTTCTTTTGGTGGGGAACTGATAGCAATAATCACCAGTATTGTATATAACTGCTTAATTAAAGTAAGTACAATGTTGGACGCTACATACATATCAGCAAACCGGTTTTGTGAAAGTAGCCAGTGTTTGTGCTCCTATTGTAATTTTCTGCTACGTGGTTACGTTTTTGTTAATAAACAAAACCAGTAACTGCCTATTTTCAAATTGGCCCATTCATAAAATACTGATTTAATTGTTAGACGTTAGTATTATATGAAATACTATTAGGCTATTGTGACAAATACTGTCATCTAGTTTAATAAATTATTCAGATCTTTGCTTCCAATTTGTTTTGTAAACTGAGATTAAAAAGTCTCCTACTTGTGTATCTATTCGACATGGGCTGAGAAGACCAACAGACATGAAAACTTTGTTGCACCTAGTTTTCTGATTGTAGCCTGGGTGTCACTGATTTTCGCCTTCTCTTCACATTCCAGTTACATGGTAGGACTGCATATGCTGAGTTTTGTCATTTCCTATCAGTTCTCCTCACTTCCAGCGTAGCTTTTCCTAGGAACTCATGGCTCTGCTACAGATGTTTTCATGACACCCCAAAGGTATTTGGACAAGAGTACCCTTGCTCTCTCACCAGGACCCTTGCATGGTCCTCTGATGCTAAGTGGTGCTGGTTTTGTTTAGCTTGCTGGATGATAGGAAGTACTGCTCCATCAGAAATGCTGTGTTAACTGCATACTGGAAAATTCTTCTAAAATTTTCTACTAAAGCTAAAAGGTAGCTCCAACATGTAGCAGAGTTTATTGGCAAATTCTGAAGGGGGGTAGGGTTTTTCAGGTATTTAAGTAGCACTTCTGTGAGAAATTAAGTTCCAGGTTTTGCTAGCACCCGAAATATACTGGTACTTTTCAGAAAGAAAAAAGAAGAATCTTATGCCCTCAACAGAAATGTACATGTTCATGTTATTTTCTGAAGTCCTAATCCTGCAGTTAGTTTTTTCTTGAATTGCAGTTCTCAAGTGTGGTGTAAAAGTTATTCAAGCAGATGAAAAATTAATCATTGTAGAAAATACTATCATCTCAGAGAAAATGCAGGTTGCTCTTAGATGGTGTTTGATACTAAGACTCAGTGAGAAGGTAGTGAAAAAAAGGTGCGGAACCACATGTCCTGGGAAAAGACTGAACTCCAAAAACTTCAGCTGTGTTTGTAAAGGAGAAAACAAGAATTGTATCTTTCAACACAGTGTTAAGTCAAAGGAAAGCATATTAATGCTCTCTAAGCCACACATGTTGCTGAGTAATTTTTGCCTCCCTGGAGTAATTTATACACTTCAACAGTGAATCCCAAAAATGTGTATGGGATATCTGGGGAGTTTCTGGTATTAATTTACAAGTTTCAACATTTTGTGACTTGGTCCAATGGTTCAATAACTGTCAATACAGGTATCTGGGCTGTGTAATTTGAAAATTCGTGTGTCTTCCCCAGATAGTAATTTGTAGAGAAACTTTCTTTAAACACAAATACTTAAATAGTAAAGTATCCCTGCACATAATAAAGCTCTGCTCTTCAGGAATGTAAACATGAACATATGTACATGTCTTTAGAGTGAAGTTGCACTCTCTCATAATTCAGCCTGTTAGCAGTAGTTAACAATAGCTTCTTGGATTTGCTGTATGCTATTTTTATCCAATTTCTTCCATACTTTTCATTATTTACAGAGGCATATTAGGATATGAAGTAGATGACTAGTCTAAATTGCAATCTAGAATTCACTTCAGAGTGATGTGTTAGCAGTAGTTAACAATAGCTTCTTGGATTTGCTGTATGCTATTTTTATCCAATTTCTTCCATACTTTTCATTATTTACAGAGGCATATTAGGATATGAAGTAGATGACTAGTCTAAATTGCAATCTAGAATTCACTTCAGAGTGATGTGCTTGTACCAGGTATCAGCAGCTCCTACCTCTGTGGGCAGGCTTTTCAGTCAAGAGCTGTGCACCAAGAATGACCTGGCTTCTGCAAGAATCTAGACCTGGGAAGCCTTGGAACATAACTGCATGCACGACCTGGGGCACAGGAGCAAGGCTAAAGCATAGCATTGCAGGACTGGTGAGGTGGGTTTTGCTAAGATGTTTAGGGAATTGTATCAAGGTCTAGTTTAGGGAGTGGAAGATGAGGGTTGATTGCTTAAATTACGGAGAGTTCAAATTCAGTGGGGCCTTCAGAAACATAGGAAAACCAGTAACAACTACAAACTGAAATACAATATGGTAATTTGGAGTCTAATTTTATTAACTACTTATTTCACTCATGCCCAAGATAAGTAAAACTGAGAAAGTCTAAGATCATTGTGATCTCATCCATGCTTTAAAACTCATGCTGGTAGTTATAGATTGTAGAATTGTGCAAGAAGAGCAAGGGCCAACAAATGAGGAAGTTTTTGCTTAGAGTTTGACAGTTCACCTACTCTTTGCTCCCTTGTTGTTTCCACACGCACACACACATGTGCCAATCTGTGAAGAAGAAGCAGCTTTTTATTTTTTTTCTCTCCTCTCCTTCATTACTGAATTTTCTAATTCAGTTATTCCAAAATAACTCAAACAATTTAGAATAAGGTATGGAGAAGAGTTGTTGCATTACTTTGGTTAGCAGAATATAAGTGTAAGCTTGGTGCATGACAGTCAAAATAACAATTTTTTTTCCTCTTACTTTCCTTTCATATTTTATGATGTTGTATAAAATGATAATTTTTTTTTCCTTCATACCCTGCTTTAATTCTAATAACTAATTTCAAAAGAAAACTAGCAGAAGTAGAAATGGGTCTAGAGCTATGAACAAAATAATGGAAGATATAAATAGAATATTGTGTGAAAGGGTAGTGGAAATAATGAAAGTGGTTTTAGAGCAGGGACATGATACAGTATATGAAATAATGAGTGGCATGGAAAAGACAAATTGGGCTTTCCTGATGGTCTTTTCTACTAACTCAGGAACAAGATGGCAATCTGCAACGTTTCTAAAGCAGTATATGTAAATCAGAGGAAGGAATTAACTTTTATTTTCTCAGTTTTCAACCACAACAGGTACTTAAGCTCTGGTCATCTGGTGTATCAAGATAACATGATGTTTACTAAAAAATGAACAAAACTGGAAATGTATATTAGCAAAGGAATATACAGATATGTATTGGATAGGATACAAAAAGCCATAAGGGCTCTAAATCTTGATCTGAGGTTTAGGCTGATTACTGGTATTTGGTGATAGGATGAAATTGTTTTGCACGTTTTGTTTAACAATGGTCCTTTACCATAATTAGTTCTCTTTTTTTAAATATTCAGTTACTGAACTGTCTAGTCTTGCATACAGTATCTTATACACTTGAATTAATTTTAACTTAGTACTTAAATGCCCTCACAAGGATTCTGGTAAGTTAGTTGACTCCTCCCAAGCTCATGTCCAGCTTTCAGTGGGTGCCTGCAACAAACATGAGAACCCGACTGTTCTTCACTTTCTGTCAGTTTGTCTTAGTCCTCTTCCCTATGTTTTTGCTGGGGTTTTTTTATCATAAAGTGCATGTTTTTATAACACTTATGTGTTACATTAAATGTTTTGTGGTGCAGACAGCAGACCTGGATGCGTTTGCATAGAGTAGTTTCATTGCTGATAGAAGCCTTTGTGCACCACCCTGATTAAAGCAGTGCTTCTGTTCAGGTTATTTTCCTCTTATCTGTTGTACTTGTGCTTTATGTAGCACAGCCCAGTGAACCTGTTTGGAAGAGAAAGAGGTGGTGAACGATGCATTTCCAGTCCCACAGCTAACTGGTTTTGCTTCGAAACGTACAAGGTGAACTACTCTTCAGTGACCGGTAACTGAGCCCATACTGTGACCATACTGCCCCAAATCCCAATCCACTTGAATCCCTGTGTACGTTCTGGTGCATATACACGTATCTTTACAACAGTGTTATAAATTCCTTTTTCACGTTGTGCTGATACAAGAGAGTGGGCAAAAATGAGTTTTACTGGCTTCCATCACTGCTTTTCTAGTCCTTTCCAGTCCCAGGCTGCTCTTGCCCTGCTCCTGGTGACATGCCTCCTCCTTTGCCTGCCTTCTCAGTTGTGGCTTTCACAGGAGAGGGTGCTAAGGTGCCCTTCGCACCATCTAATGCAGCGTATGTGTTCCAAGTCACGATCCACATCTCCATGCCTGCCTTTGGCTCAACCCAGACCTGTTTGTTTCTCCTGGTAAGGATGTAAACTAAGTACTGCAAAAACAGCTCCTCCAGGAAAGAGCAAGAGCTGTTCATGCACTTGGGTCCTCCTCACCCTCCTGAGGGTGTTAGATTTTATATTTTAAAAGGTAACAATGCTGGTGGACTCTGGGCAGGTGGTGAAAGGCACCTGCAACACATCACATCTGACCACAATAGCTCCCTCGTCACCTCTAGGCACCACCGGCCACCACAGGCCACTCACATTCACAGGGCTTTGAGCTGATGCCACAGTGGCCTCTGGTCGCTGACAGGGGAGGGTGCAGGCAGGCCTCGGGAGAGGCAGGAAGCACCCTTCCCTGAACTGTGCCTGGAGGCTTGCGTGTAACACACCTCACTGGAGGGCACACTTCCCTCTCTTTGCGGATGGTGTTTTGCACACAGAATAACTTGACTGGCAGTATTTATTACTTCCTGTCACTTTCATTTTGGTTTGCCCTGATTTTGTATATTAGCACGAGGACGTTTAGGCATTTAGTTGCGCTATGAATGTGCACCAGCAATGCACAGCATACCAGCACTTCCTGAATCCTGTTTGGAAAGTAAATGGTATTCCATATGAGTCTAAAACATCAGTTGAGAGGGAGGTAGAAGA